GGAGCGCTGAGAGTGGGTCTGTTGATTATATTTAACCAAATGAAGGGTTAAGGAACTAAATTTATTTAAAAAATTATTTTAAAATTCCATTAACTTATATATGTAAAGACCCATGTTTAATATAAAAAACAATGGCACATCACATACATGGGATACTTGGATTATGCTGCGCAGTTTTAGTCATCATACTAAATAGATGACATATTTTCTTTAAAACCATAATGATGAATGATAAAGTTAGTCCGCAAGCATTTATATTTCTCTTAAAAAAATTTAAATATATTTTTCTTTTACCAATCCCCTAAACAAAACTTCCTAAAGATGACATTCAAGTCAACCATGACAAACATCCCATTAAATGGCATGGACAGCCAAACTGAAATATTACTGTCTCTAGGTGTCCAGCCATTCATACGATTCAACTGTCAATGGAAGCACTTGTAAATGACTATTTACAAGGCCATCTTCAGCACAAACGTACATACACAGATGATAACCTGAGTGACTCCTCTCAACTAAGGAATAAAATCTGATTTTACTGTCATTATGAAATGCAAGGATTGCAAAATTTTATAAGCTGCTTTTTAATGACTAAAATTAGTAAACATATGAAATTAATGGGCAGCATTGCTAAATATTAAAAGCAAGCTATTTTCCCTAATGCCTGCGAGCAATTGTCATGAAAGAAATACTCAAGGGCACTTTTCTACTAATTGGGTTTTCACTAGCCTTTATTCAAAGGACAATATCATTTGATTTGATTACATTTCAATTTAAAAACTATCTACAAAGATAATACTAAGTAATAATTTAAAATTGACTTTTGTTGGGGGTGTCCCTGGGCACTAGGTGTGCCTATGCCTCCAAAGTATAGAAAATGACTATTATTCCCCTGAAACTTTGCTTTGACCATTGCCTTAAAACTGCTTAGGGAAGATATCTTGAAGGTTACTTGAAGGCTGCTGACTCCTTATTAAGAGCTGTGATAAATTGTCATAATTTAAGATAAGGCATTAGTAGTCTTCAAGTACCTTCAAGGCATTTTCCCTAAACTGTTTAAGGCGAAGGTCAAAAGCAAAGTTTGAGGAGACCAGCAATTTTTATACTTTATAGGTATAAGCAATTAGAAAATATCACTACCCATCGAGTACAAGCGGGAGAGATACATAATTTACACCTGGAAAAATAATAGGACAACTGGTTCCAAATCTGCACACAAAAATAACACCACATGAGACCAGAAGGCATAGCAGGATAGCAAAATAGCTCCACTGAAAAGTAGAGGTGCAATGGGTATGCTGAGAGAGAATTCTATTAAAGGACCCAACCTTTTCAACACTCACTCTCTACACATAAAGGGCATAACTTGCCGACCCCTCGCAGTGATCATAAGAGAACATGATATACTCCGGAAGATAAAAAATAGCCAAAGCTACTCTATCCTATTGAGATGTATCTTATTGTCTCAATAAACATATTGAGATATGTTTATATGTCATAAGATACCTGATCAACCAGGCTGAGATTAATATATCAGGCTGCAAACAGCCACATCGCACAGCCTGGCTGACCTGACCACCAACTAGGAGGTCTAGTCAGAGATCAGGCCACGAACTTTAATCTTCGAATTCATTAAAATGTAACCAAAAGGAAGGGGACAAACATTTTTACATAGCGCATTAATTATTTGCTCATCTTTTGTATATTTTACCCTCTTGCTTGAGGCCTCCTATCTTTTTGCCCTTCATTTAATTTTATTTCATGAAGCAGCTTTCTGAAACCGATCCAAACTTCCAAATATTCTCATCTCCTCCCCGAATATTGAGTAAACTCTCCAGTAAAACGATTACAAATCCTGCATTTAGACTTAACAGTATTCCATCATCTCTCTAGTTAGCAACTGAAGAGTGTTACAGTATTGAATTACTTAACATGTTTGCGTTCCAATGATACTAAAACACGTCATTCATACTCCAATAGTAAATGTTTTGATGACACTAAAATGTATCATCCAATTGTTATTCATAAACATCTGTATATACACTTTTGCATCTTTTCTTCAGAGAATTAATTTACAAACATCTGATACCAAATTTATAGTTATGACCCCCCAAAAATAGAGAAAACATGAAAGGATTGTAAAAAATTTTTGCACTGCTCAACAGCCTGTGTAAAACACATTCTGGGTCTGAGAAGCCCACAATGTTTGACATCACAAACATGCAGAGAGCCTGGATTGCCAAACAAATCAATATGTATTCATTTTCAAAAAGATAACTTTTCCAGAATGAATCGACTAACAAAGATAAAATGTATTCCTTTTCAAAAAGATAAAACTTTCCAGAATGAATCAACTAACAAAGAAAAATATGTCCACTTTACTGAAAAAGTATATGTTCTTAAAGTTTTGTTAAGTAACATACATCATTTGTATAGATTATGATACAGTATCTTGAAAGTACCATGAAACCCTGACAAAGGCATTTGCAGTAAGAAAATAAAAGAGGCATATTATGAAATTCTGTGCAGTGCATGCACGTAACAGAACCAAAATGCTTCCCAAAACATGCAATAGTAACAAGTTGATGAAATATTCCCTGGCCTAAAATCTGTATGACCTTGTATGACACCACATACTTCTGTAAAGCTAGATTCTAAACCAACCACACACTCATTGCTTAACTTTTAATACCCAAAACAAAAAAAATTTGCATTTTCATAAGTATACAAGAGTTATTAAAACCAATAACTAATATTAATATTAGAATAAACGTCACCTAAAGGAGTCTTTATCACATGAGAAATGCTTATCTAGCACCCCCATCATCTTGAAGAATTGTAAAGTATGCTGTAAATCTATTGAAATGCAACAGTTTGTTCCCTAATTATAGTTCAGAATTTACAAGGCCGACTCTAGTTGTACACAACGAAAAGCTATATCTTTAAATTGTGCTCAATTAATTAATGATAAGGAATTCGGACAATATTTACCATGAAAAATTTAACATGATTAACTGTAGTGAAACATTATTTGAATTTTTTTACCAAGACAAAACTACATAATGAATCTTAATTGGGCACAATTTGGGATTATAGCTAAAATCCCATGAGCATAAGCTTAGGTTAAGGTTTGTTAGCCTCCACATGACAACCACGCCCACCTCACCAACGCGTCTAGCAAAAATTATCAACATAAAACAGATGGAATGAAGTTCATAAATTTACAGGTAAAAACATGTGTACATTTACTACACAAAAACTATAGCTGAACTTGAAAAACATGTATTACCTTTGAGAAATACTATTTATCAGATGAACAATGTAAACTACACCTAACTGATACCCAGCTCTACCTATGTATTAATCTGCCATAATGACACTGTGAGCTTAGTCTTATGCAATGATTATGACTTTGAATCTATCCTCCAAAGGGCAATCGTGTAACCATCTGCTATTCAACAAACTTCTACATGAAAATAAAAAGCCTGAAGATTATTCGTGTATTTTCCAAATTATTATGAATCAAGCACCATCTAGGTATTTTAAACCAGGGAATGTGGGTAAAGCTCAGAGGACTCCTGCAATACATCCACCATACCCAGACACAAGCCTAAATACTCCACTCCCCTATTTGCCTCCAGCCACCTTCTACTCATATGCTTATTCAGAATTGGGCATTCAACAGAAGCAGTAATTAAGCCCTTGATACATACAATTAACACAAACTTTGAAGCTAAACAGCAACCAAAACATGTTAGTGAGAAAAGTTCGGGCACACATTCAGCTAACTCTGGAACTGCATTCATAGCAAGAGAGATTCATCTATCCTAACGAAGATCTTTGAATGAAGTGAAAGCAGGCATTTTAGCAACGATCAAATAGACTAAGTCTCATTAAAAAACCAGGACTTCACTACCTACAAAGGGCTTAGAAAATGCCGTTCAAAGATGCAGTGTCCTGAGATTATGGCACAGAAAGCATGAAACAAGGCAAGTTTGGAAGCTCTATATTTTCAACATTACCGAAACCTATATTCTCACTATACAGGGAAAAACCATCTAAGGGAATCTACTTCTATATACAACATTATTTTATTAATTTGTTTTATTTATTTTTAAGTCAGGGGGAGCCAGGGAGGGAAATACTGAGTTGCAAAGGGTACTTATTTTAGATGTCTAAGTTCCTTAGGATAACTGTCCATGTGTCTGCAAGGACCATATAACTGCGAGTGAGGATATATATACAGTAGTGAAGTTTTGAATAAAATGAACATTACTTTTTTATCATTACCAATTAGAAACCCATAGCCACTGCACCTGGCTTTCATTAGTGAGTAGAGAACTTTTACAGGCTTCTTGCAAAATTATTTTCAATTTAGATTATAACCTTGTATACAGTTTCAGAACATTTAAAATTAAAGTAGGATATTGTGATGCTAAATGTTTAACCATACTCTGAGAACTGTGAATAATAGTAATTAGTCAATTTATAAAATATATAAACAACCTCACTAACATATTATTGGCAAACTGTTGTATTTACCTCATCTACCAACTCAGTCTCAAGTATCAATGAGAAAATCTTCCTTGTTTAATCCAGTTTACTATCCTCACATTAAGTGCACTTGTATTAGAAATTGCATAGCATTGAAAAGAAAGCACTGCCACAAAGCATCTGAGAAAAGTTTGATAACTCTTCACTAGGTAACCAAGAAAGCATATGAAGTATTTACATATGATGAATATTAAGATATATTTCCCTTCCTTTTTCATGTTAGTAAGTGAGGGGTGCAAACTGAAAAGCAGGTCAATCAATCCAGCTTTACAGTTGGTTAGCAATGAGTGGCTACAATCTGCCAGGCAGCTGATGGACTGGCTGGTTTGTCTGGCAACATTTGTGTTAATAAAGATGTGAGTTAATTTGGGAATATGGTGCACCATCCAAGCTAGCGAGCAGGTGGCAACGTGAGTGGTGGAAGGCAAAGGGGAGGAGCCGCCTACCCGTCCACGACGCGACTTGACGGTAGAAGACGCGTTGTTGGTGGCGTTGTTGTTGGTAGTGGTGGAGGGAGCATTCTGCCCCGGAAGCTGAAGGAGAAGGGTTGGGATGGTGGAGGATGTTGCATTGGTACTAGTGATGGAGGAAATGGTAGCAGTGTCAATGGTTGATGGCGGCATGTGCATTGACGAAGGCGTTAATGGATGGTGATTATTATTAGGTATACCTAAATCTGACTGATGTAATGATGATGATGATGGTGATGGTGAAAGTGATGGTGTGTTAGAGTGATGATGATATGGAAGTGCATGATGCTGTGGCTGTGGTGAATAATGTGATTGATGATAATGATGTGAAGGATGGTGGTGATGCGGTGGCACTGGAGGGGCAATATATGGAGAATGCTGTAAAAGAGGCTGTGATGGTGTTTGATATGGATGTTGTGTCTGGTGAAGTAAATGATGATGGAGGGAGTTGGTGGAGGATGACTGGGATTGGGATGACTGACTGACCCCGGCTGATATGACTGACTTCTCTGACGTGATGCTGTTGCTTTTGCTGCTGTCACCTCCCGCTGGGTCCTCCTCTGTAGAGTCTGTGTGTTGGTAAACAGTGTCATGTCATTTCATATCCAATTTAAATACTGTACCATATAACCTAGATAAAAATAACAATTTTAAGCAAATCTTATGTACAGAATCTGAATTTTAGAGTTTTAATCCTATTTATATTCATATCATTGCTGTAATTAATTTCTTTGTAATATCTGATAAAATGATTATAAAAATATGTAAGGTAAAATTGTGATTTGGTTAGTGCAAGAATTAAAATATTGTACATGCATAATGGAATGCAAATAAAGTACATCTAACAATAATAAAATGAAACAAATAACCATGAAATATATCTACTTTAACTAACAAGGCATTAAATTCCATTCCCTTAAAATTGTTTGAATAGAATGCAGCAATGAACAAAAACACCAAGTAGACTGAACCCAAGTTTTATTGAAGGTGATGTTTTTGACAACAAAAGGTGAAACGTCTTCTTCAAATAGTCTACTTGATGCTCTTTTACATTTATCTTTACTTATAATTCTATGAGTATCAGACCCTTACAAATGATCAATAATAATATACTTCCCTTAACCCATCATTAATATACTCCATGCATTAGTCTCTTACCATTCTCTTCACTTTACCACTGAATACTTCTGATACATAATCACATCAATCAGCCTTTCATTGTGCACTTCTACACCCTTTCTTACTACTCTAATTAACACACATTAATTATTACTACTACTGTATTAACCCCCATCTCCCATTTAGTAGCTAAATTACTTGCTTCAACAATCTGCCTTGTCTATGCCACAATTTACTGATCAAGATGTTAGGATGCTCACCAACAGCTGAAGCTTCTAGCAAAAGCTTATAATCAGATATGAAAATATTTATTAAAACAAAATTCAAATACTGGATATATTTGATGCTAACTACTTTTATGCCAGCACTCAATGTCTGAGCTGTGAGAACCCTGCATTTCCATTTTAATACCGTACTATATCCTGCACATCTAACTTTTATAAAATACTTTTATCGGCAACATTTACTTAGAATGTCCATAAAACTTCACCTTTATCAGCAATTATTAGCTCATATTTAAAGAAATCCAGACTCCATACATTTTATTGTGCGAAAAAATTTCTCATATTAACCTGGAAATCTTTTTGAACCACCTAACCAGATTATATTTCACACATTACCGAGTTAATCTTCTGACTCGACACCAGAATGGTAATAGATTTTGTAGGAAATGTAAGAAATGAATTTACTACAATAATAATTCAAAGTATAGTAGTCAAGTCTTGTCATACATACTCATGAATGTTTGAGAGGTTATAAAACCAAGACATGGTTGGTGTTCAGCCTGTTTTGGACAGTCTCATACTGCCAAAGTATTCATCCAATGTCCACGAGATGGCAGCAGAGAGATTGGATCTAGCTCTGCACCATCAATTTCAGGTTTAATATATGTCGTAAGCCTTACTTTCATAAATATGCTAGATATTTTTTTTTCTCTCGAATATAAATGTCAGTGACCAACCTCATCTTGTTACCTTGTGGTGATTCTGAGGATCAATGTTCCAGCAGTCCAGTCTCTGACCAGGCCTCTTGGTTGGTAGTCTGGTCAACCAGGCTGTTGGATGCAGCTGCTCACAGCCTGACGTATAAATCACAGCCTAGTTGATTAGGTATCCTTTGGAGGTGGTGCTTTCTCTTACGAAAACAATGAGATGACCAGTTATGCCCCTTATGTGTAGAGGAAATGTGTTGAAAAGTCTTGAGCTTTTGATGTTGATAAAGTTCTTTCTGAGCATACCTATTGCACCTCTGCTTTCAATGGGGCAATTTTGCACATCCTGCCATGCCTCATAGTCTCATGTGATGTTATTTCTGTGTACAGATTTGGAACCAGTATCTCTAACATTCACCTTGTTGTATAAATTATGATTACCATGTGTATAATTATGATCACTTCGCTCAAGCGAATACAAATTTAAACATTTTAATCGGTCACAATAATTTAGATGTTTTAGTGGATTCTAATAATAAAGGATCTTTACACATGTTATCCAACCTGTCACTTTTTTTGAAGTCATGAGAGCTTTTTTATCGTTTAATTAAAAGGTCTTCTGACATGATTTTTCCCAGATCCTTTACACTGTTTTTTAGTTCAATAGTGTGATTTCACTGTGTTTTATATTTGGTTTCTGTTTTTAAATTTTAATTTCTGTTATAGTGCAGGAACTGGAACTAATCTTTATTAAACATCATATTATCTGTGCCCAATTGAAAGACCTGCTTTACATCAGATTGGAGGTTTGCTATGTCCTCTCTACTGTCTTCTTTCATGAAAATCAAAGTGACCCTTTAAAGTATAGAAAAGAAGTAATTAATTATCAAATGAAGGCACCAAACCGGGAAGGCTATGTAGCACCATCAAATGTGCGGAATAATCAGAGGGCGTTAAATATCACCAAGAATGCCAATACGAGAACAGAAACGCATAAGGCGAAAGGTATCAACAGTATTCGATTCACCAAGAATTCTATCGAGAGATAAGTGACTGTGAGGGACATTCAGAAAGCAAGACACACGCTCATCCTGGTATAGAAAAGAAATTTACATAATTATATCATGTAAATTCTATGTTGTTTGCAGTTTGTTCAATTCCAAGTGCAAATTTGTGCTCTAGTACAGGTAGGGGTACTTTCCAAGTAGTTGTTCAACACATTCTATATACTGTATAATTTTTACAGGAGTAATACAAAACTTTAGGAAACAATTTTAAATATACAGTATATGCAAATAATGTCTGAATTGATATACAAAGATTTTAATACCATATTATAACAATGAATATCTTATCTGCCATATAAATTAAAATAATAAATATTTTGCAAGCGAAACTTTATCATTCAAGAGTAACTGTATGTAAAATAAGAATACTATTTGTAAATGCCATTATTAAAAATATTTAAATTAGAAATGTAAATGAAGAAAGCATACAGAGCTTTTTTTTATAAAAATCATATTGGTAATCATACGTTCCTATTGCCAGTATGATGCCATACATAGCAGTGAGAAGTATGGGTACTGCATATGTATGGCACTGCATAGCATAGCAGTGCCATACATAGCAGTGAGGAGAGAGGGGCAAGAAGAAATTTTGAGCAAGGGATAGCAGAAAAATGTAAATAAAACCAGGCCAAGTCAATAAATTTACAAAAAAGAAAATTGCAGGCAAAAGATGAAATTCAATGGTTGAAAATGGGGAACAGCCTCATGGTGAATGAAAAGGACATATGTGAACACTATATGAACAGTTCCAAAATGTGTGTAATTACCTAAATGTAGTTACAGGATGAGCTATGCTCGTGGTGTCCCGTTCCCAGCACTCTGCCATATAACACTTCAAAATTACTGACAGTTTTGGCCTTCATCACCTTCTCACCTAACTTGTACCAACCATCTACCACTTTGAAGTTCCAGGTCTCAGGAATTCTTCCCTATCAATTTTATTGATTCCTGTTACTATTTTGAATGAAGTGATCATATTGCCTTTTTTTTCTATCTTCTAATTTGGACATATTTAATAATGTACCTCTATTCTCTCCTCGTAGCTCTTGTCCTTCGGTTCTGGGAGCCACTTAGTGGCATATCTTTGCACCTTTTCCAGTTTGTTGGTGAGCTGCTTAAGATATGGGCACCATACAACCGCTGCATATTACAGCTTTGGTCTAACAAAAGTCGTGAACAACTTCTTGAATATTTCACCATCCATGTATTTAAAAGCAATTCTAAAGTTAGAAAGCGTAACAAACTCCTCACACAACATTCTTTGTGTGGTTCTCAGGTGATAGTTTCTATTTAGAACCACCCCTAGTTCTCTTTCTTTATCAGATAAAGAAAGTCTTTAAAGATTTTTCCACACAATTTATAGGTTGTGTGGGGTCCATGTTCTCCTATTCCACATTTCATAACATGGCATTTATTCACATTAAATTCCATTTACCAAGTGGTGCTCCATATACTTATTTTATCCAGGTCTTCTTGAAGGGCATGACAATCATCTAAGTCTCTTATCTTTCCTATTATCTTAGCATCATCAGCAAACATGCTCATATATTTCTGTATTCTATCTGGTAGATTATTTACATAAACAATGAACATTACCGGGGCAAGAACTGAACCCTGTGGTACCCCATTTGTAACATTTCTCCAGTCCAACATATTACTTCCAATTACAGCCCTCATTTTTCTATCAGAAAAATTTTCATCAATGTTAGAAGCTCCAATATGTTCCAGTTTCCAGAACAACCTCTTACGTGGGACTCTGTCGAAAGCCTTTTTTAGGTCCAGATAGATGCAGTCAACCCAACCATCTCTTTCCTGTAAAATCTGTGGCTCAACTATAGAAACCGAGTAAATTCGTTACACAGGATCTTCCAAATCGAAAACCATACTGTCTGTCATTACAGTACATGTACATCGTTGTTCTCCAGGGCTAGATTCACGAAGCAGTTACGCAAGTATTTACGAATGTGTACATCTTTCCTCAATCTTTGATGGCTTTGGTTACATTTATTAAACAGTTTACAGGCTTGAAAACTTCTAAATCAACTGTTATTGTTATAAACAGGTTCCTGGTGCCTCACAGCTCATTAACTGTTTAATTACTGTAAACAAAGTCACCATAGATTGAGAAAAGATGTACAGGTTCGCAAGTACTGTACTTGCATAACTGCTTCGTGAACCTGGCGTCAGGTGTTCTGCCCACTTCATTTTAATAATTTTTTCTACTATTTCGACTATTAAATTTGTCAATGATACAAGCCTATAATTTAGGGGCTCTTCTCTGCTGCCACTTTTGTAGATTGGAAGCATTTTTCCACACATCTGCTATGACTCCTGTACACAGGGATGCCTGAAAAATCAGGTGAAGTGAAATGCTGAGCTCAGGTTCACATTCTCACCGAACCCATGGTGAAACTCCATCTTGGTCAATTGCTTTGTTCTTGCTAAGCTCCTT